GGAAGATTTTTTTTTTTTTTTTTTTTTTTTATAATTAGGTAGGACTGCTTGTCCTTTCATAAATGAATTATTTCTGTTATAAGAATATGAGGCTGGAAAGCTATGTAAAACGAAAAACCAAATATAAAGCTAAGGAAACGTGTTATCGAAACAAATTTAGAAAATATAAAACATATCCTAAGCATTCAAGAGGCTTAGTCCTCTTTGTAACGGCCCAAGCCCACCGTTAGCAGATATTGTCCTCTTTGACTTTCCGTTTCGAGCTTCCCCTCAAGGTTTTTAAAATGCATCTATTAGGGAGAGGTTTCCACACTCTTATAAAAGATGTTTCGTTCTCCTCCCCAACCGATGTGGGATCTCACAATCCACCCCCCTTTGGGACTCAACGTCCCGTTCTCCTTCCCAACCAATGTGGGATCTCCCACTTTCCCACTACTCATCATTCCATATTGCCTAATCTATAACTCTACTAAACTAACACTATTTATAACTGTATTCACTCTTACAAACTTTCAAGTTCATGATTTACAAGCCCCTATCAAGATTCGTAACATTTTCCTCTGCTTTGATAGGCAAATAAATTTAAGTCTCGAGATTTACATCTGAATTTAACAAACAAATCTGCCACATAAAAGTCAGAAGAAGAAACAAGAATAGTAGAAACCACCTTGATTAGGATGGCCAAACAATCATAGTAGAACAATTGATTAGAACAATAATATGCACAACATCAAGAGAATTAAGGAATCTTCAGCAAAATCACGAAGCACTTCATTGATTACCACATGTGTAAATGATCCTGGCTTAGCACTTAATTCATCTGCTGAAAGTATTGCGTAATCAGCGTAAGTACCCCTCACAGCAGTTGGATGCAAAGCACCAAAAACTTCTTCTCCAACACTTACTGAACGAACCGAAGAACCAACAGCCGCAACTTCACCACTGATATCACGGCCCAAAATGACCGGTAAAAGTGGTTCAAAGATTGAGCTACCATAACCCGATCGCATCTGGGAAACAATAGAAACCCAAAAATTAAAATACATTTAGGTTTCAATTTCAACCACAAAGAAAACCAAAACAAGATTCAAATGGGAAGCCATGACCACTCGATATCACATTCAACAATCAAACAGTCAAATTCTTGTAGTTTTCTTCATCTAATTGACCAAATCTTGAGATGTTCCATGGATGAAACCCTTCTAAGGATGACTTGGTAGCTTACTAGCATTACTTAACCAAAAAAAACAAGAAACAAAAAGAAGTTCATCTCGAGTCAAATAAAAGTGAGAACAGCCACTTCGCTATAAATAAATCACCAAGAACAGTGAAATTTAGAAACAAACACTCATTCTAACTGCCTTCAAGACAACCAGTTCTAAGACAGGAACACACAAAAGAAGTAAGGCAAAGAAATCTGACTCGGGTATCAAGCGGGTTGATGGAAACAGCACGCGCGCGGACGAGAACTTCATCAGGCTTGAGGTTGGGGACGTCAACGTCAGAGCGGAGCTGGAGCACCTCCGGACCACCAAAGTGAGGCAAAACCACGGCTCTGCAAGTGGTGACGATGGTTCTAAATCCATCGAGAAATGGCGATCCATGTTCGAATTCAGAGGCGCGACATCGCAATAGAGCTCGCATTGTTGCTTGAGATCAAATTGAATCAGAGCATTCGCGAAATGGAGAGAGAATCAGATTTGGCCGAAGAGAGAGAGGAAGGTGGACGTGTCTGAATTTCCATCCGCGCAGTTACGGAGAAATGGGTTTATGAGAGCTTGCCACCAGAACCAACTCAAGAACCTCAACCCTTTTTTCTTTTTATTATTATTATTATATTATTATTATTATTATGGATTAAAAGTAGTTTTCTTTTTATTATTATTATTCTTTTTATTAAATTTTTATTTAGATTAAATATAGAATTTTGTCCATTTTTAATATCTCAATTTTTAGAAAAATGAAAAATGCCATTGTTTGAATTTTGAAGGATTGTTTTTTATTATATAAATAATTGAAACCCTTAATTCGAATACATAACTTAATAAATAAAACGTCAATTATTATTTTAAACATTGATGATTCATTAACGAATTTATAGATTAAATAATAAAACCAATATAAATGTTGAAAAATAAAATTAATTTTTGCCGACTCTTTTGTTGATGTTTAGCATACTCAATCATTGTTTTCGCAAATTTCTCGATGCTCTTTTCCTAATTTCGATTTAACTCAAACTCAGACAAAAAATTAATTTAAAGAAACACTCATTGGTGATCAGAACAATAGGATTTGAGACTTGACCGATCAATTCAATAACCTATTTTATGTAAAGATTGTTCAAAAGATCTAGTGTCTCGATCAAAAGTACTTCCAACACAAAATTATCATGTCTATCGTAAGAATAACGTTTCATATGCAAAACTCAGACTAGAATTTAAAATCTGGATTCAACACCTGATGGCTCGACATTCCCCTACAACATGATACATTATCTACTTGTCTCAAAGAACTTTCAACGATCGAGATGTATTATCTGTTCATAAATTCAATCAGTCCTCAATCCTAAACCCGTCAGGTAGATATCAAATCATTCCCTTAGCACCTCCCTCACTGCCTCATTCCTTGCTGACATCCCTAAATAGATATCCTTCTCAGAGATCATAGAAGGGTCACTAAAGCTAGGAGACCAGCATTACTATTGATATGAATGTGTTCGTGAGTGTGTGTGCGCGCGTGTTTAAGTTTGACGTAACGTGCCCTTTATCAAGAGGCACACAAACAAGTCCAGTTTTCGCGCGGCATTCAACTCAAAGAGCATCCTCGTTCGATTGTTACAGAATCATTAGTTTATATGTCGTAGTCGACGAAGCTCTATCAGAAAACTAAACAGTAAACTATATCATCAGTCAGCAGTGTGCTAAGTGTAGAACCCTGTCTAGATAAGCAGAGAAGAAGTAAAACAAGAGAGATGATGCCTCTGACCTGTTAGACTCGAGGCGTGACTCCTGCATTTTTTATCCGTCAAGAACATTCAGCATTCACAACGAGTGGATTCGAACCTAAAACTTCGAAACATGTGGCAAAAAACAGACTTCGCTACGTATTTACTCATCCTAAATAAACGAGTCAGGCAAAATTTTAAATTGATACGTTCAGTTAAAATTAGACTGATTGAGAAATTCGTTTTCATAGTCAGCTAAGTAACTTCCCATCAGACACATTGTCAGCCGACAATCCAGAAACAGAGTTCGACGTCACGATACCACTCGAGAATGCAGAGCTAGCTGCAGAATTACCAGAGTTGAGTGTGGTTGGAGCACTGTTAGTTTCAGTACTCCTTCCCTCCTGAGTATTAGTTTGGGTATGGACGTTTATATTGGCATTTTGCTTTTGTGTTGCCTCAAAATTTATCCTCTGGCCGCTGAGCAGTACAGAATCCACGCCAGACTTTGAGGGCTCAGTGGATGCTGCTTCATTTACAGCATGAAGCTGTTGCAACCTGTAATCAGTCTCGGGCCGACGACAAATCTTTCTCAACTGGACGATTTCCTAACAATAATTTAGAGCAAGACAAATCAATAATCTTAAACAATACTGAATAGAAATGATCAAAAGAATCTAAAGAAGATCCACACCTCAGACTGATCGTGATCATAACGGACCAAAAACCTGCAGCGACAACCTCGAACGTCATGTCTTCTTCTTTGTGTATCAAGCACATGGGCATCAAAGTAAAGTGCCTGCTCTTTACCCTCCTGAATATTTTGAAGATCACAAAATTACCCATAAAAAAGGTTTCTCTATAACTGGTAGTATGTGCTGTGAGAACGTTAACAGATCGTTGTGGGCACCACTTAAGTGCGTCGTTTTACAAGGTAGTCGTCAATTATATGCGCAATATAGACAGGCCTAGTAAAAGAGATTATCCTGAATTGGTTGCAAGAAGGTGATGGAAAGGCCTCGTTTTTACCTGAAAGCATAAGATGAGATCACCCGGAAGAACTGCCACGCATTCTGATGATTCACAAGGAAAAGAACGAGGTCTAATGTTCCTTCGGATATTAACCCACTCGTCCTCCTCCGATCCAAAACCAGAAAATCTGACTAGTACTTCCTGACAAACAACATTTATTAGGTGATACAGGCAGTCTGATTAAAGCAAAGAAATCACAACATCAGATTTCTTTATAGACAATGTTACAATTCCCATAATTCGAACTTTTGTTTTAGTTTGCGACCACGCCGAACCATACATCATAAAATACTAAGAGAACTCATAGGATTGAGAATGTGATTCAAAAGGTTTTGAATCCATGACCACACTAACGAATAGCCCTTGACATTAGGCCTTCGTTATCCTTTGGAGTGTGATCACATGACCACATATTGTAATGTTCTCCTATAAACGAAGAACGGTGTCGTTCAAGAATTAATTGGCTTAATACTTACATGTTTGTTTTTAATGAAAAACGCACAGAAAGTAGACTGAAGAGGAAAGAAAGGCAACAAAATGAGGGAACGAGCGCAAAATTACCAGGTCACCGCTTTCCACAGATCTATGGGATAGAAAGGTAGCAACATCATACCTGAAAATACGAGCAGTTAAAAAATCAATTATTAATTTCTTGTATTATGAAAACGTGTATCATGAAGAAGTTTATTATAATAAAGCATGGAGACCGGCTAAGCTAATTCACACCAAAATCCCCATATTTGTAGACAGACTATACTGACCATGCACCATCTCTCCCAGACTTAGCTTCGAACTCCAACGATGGATTTTCTGAAGCACTCTTTGCAGATCCTGGAATTTGGTACAGAAATTGAATGCAAAAATAAACATATAAAACCAAACTTAGCATGTTTTAATATGAATCATCTTAAAATAGCAAATCTAGAATCAATGATGCTTACCCACTTGTATGCATAAAAAAACAAGTTCAGTGTTTCCTCTCAAGTTTATTATTGTTCTCTTATAGATAAATGAGCACTTTAGTTCACGTGTCCAACGATTTTTCGACAGTGACATGTACTCTCAAGCATCTAACGTGTGTCGAAATGTTCAATAAGTGTTCAGACTCATACAATTCGTTCACATGCTATCCAAACTGAAGCATCTGTGCTTGATAGCTACCCACACCATGCCATTCTAAAAATTATAGTTCTTCACAGAACATAAACACAGTCAACCCATGATTTAAAAGAAAAAACAATACCTCATGGATTTCTAATGCTTGAGATTCAAAAGAAGGTAGAGTCCCTCTACACATGGACTATAGTCAACTCTTTCGTGTAAGACATGCTACGCAAAAAAATATAACCTTCATAATCTTAACCTTCCAAATCAAGGAAAAAGAGAGCAGAGTCCCTCTACACGTGGTCTATAGTATTAACTCTCTCGTGTAAGACATGCTACACAAAGAATATAACCCTCAAAATCTTAACCTTCCAAATCAAGGAAAAAGCGGGGGTATTGGGGGAATGAGGGAATGTTCAGCAGGTGGAAAAGAGAGCTAGACGAAAAGCTTTGAGAACGGCAAAGGGACCAAAAGAGCTAACATAGCTCAATTTGAAATTTGTTTTTACATGGTAATTTCATTAAGGACGTAGAAATTAAAATGAAGACTAGGGGCCACAAACCCCAAGCCTCACATATACCTTACTAGAATAGATCTTTTAGTGATAAGCTCATAATAAAGATGAAATAAAAAAGAAAGAACGGGATAAGAAAACAAAAATATTTTAAAACTTCAAAAACATAACAAATTTTTTTAATACCTACTGGTGCAGGAGCAGGAACAACTGTGGTTTGAGGCACATTTCTCACGGGAGTTGACTCGATTTGGACAACTGGAGAGACAGCTAACTTTCCAGGAGCCTTGGTTGTCTTCGCTCTTATAGCATATCGTCTATTCTGGAACCAATTCCAAACCTAAGAAATAACAATAATAATCAGCAGAACACCACTAACCTATCATCATATCAAGGTCAAGTACAGAACAGAAGTCACTATACTTGTTTCATTTGCACAGCAATCTTCCCTTTCCGTTCTACCGATTCACTATAACAACATAAACAATTATTCTTTTCACTATTCAACCTTGTCTTATAGAAAAAACACAAGAAGATCAATTCAAATTTAACAAAAACAACAGTAAGCCTATTGCTCAATGCCCACCTGAACTTCTCAGCAAGGGCAACAAGAACTTCCCGAGCTGGCATGGTATTATTGTGTGCTTGCAATATAGCGTCCATCTCCGCAACCTTGAACAAAATAAGAATTTAACATTACAGCACCGGAAGTTTTGAGGAAGTGTACCCTGTAAGACTTTAACGCCTAGAAACAACTATAATAGGAGCCTTAAAGCAAGAAAAGAAAATTTTATTTGATCGAAAAAAATTCAATTCCTTATCAAGAATGTACTAATTAACCTGTTGCAGATTGAACTGCAGAAGGTCAACACAATTTCCACAAAAATTTAGATGGATAGATCTATTTCGTTTGGGTCTGGAACAAATTTTATCAACAACTATGCTCCAAAAGTTTAACTCCCAGCAACTGCATTAAAAATGGCACTCTAATTCCAAATTATCGTTATCCAGTAAGCCCCACAGTCCCCTCTCGCTGCAGTTCTTACCTAAATGTAGCTACCTACACCTACACCTACACTAACCATAGCGTCGATTCTGTGCAATTAGAGCAAACGAATTACAGATTAGGAATTTGGGGACGAGAAATCGTAATTCAAAGGGATAGAACACAATTACCAGTGGAATAAGAAACAGGAAAAAATGTTAGAAAGAACAATAGAAGTTGCAAAATAAAGGAACAATTAATTAGTTCAAAAGAAAGCAAGCACAATAATCAGTAGGCACAATTTCAAAAAGAAAAAACAATCAATCAAGCCAATAGACATAGAAATTGAAGTAATCCACAAAAAATTTCAACTCCAGCAACGAAAATGCATCACAGACGCATCATTCACAGCAAAAAAAAAAAAAAAAAAAAAAAAAAGAAAAAAAGAGAGACAAAATAAGAAAAATACAGAACAGGAAGAGGAAGAAGCGGAGAAAAACCTCGGGAGCCGTGAAACGGAAGGCAGGGCCTCCATTGCTGGGAGGCCGACCCATAAGCTAAACCTTCCGCTGTGGTTTCTCTGATTTCGGCGTCGCTATCGCAGAAGCAGAGAGAGAAACTGAGAAGAAGAAAAAAAAAAGTGCCGGGAAAAAGAGAGCAGAATTGAAGATCCCGTCTACAGAAATGAAATTCGTTATTTTCGGAAATCTTTGAGCGGATATAAATGAATGTATATGTATATATATATATACACATATATATATTATGCAATAAAGATTGAACATTCAAGCCCAAAATTCATCGTTTTTCGGAGTGCAAGACAAAATTTCCAGGTGATTTCGTACCAAATATCAAACTTTACTTGTGTGTCCCAAAGAAAAAAACCTAAATCTCAGCATATTCTTGCCATCAATATTGTTCCTAAACTACTCGACCATAGAGATTTTGGTATGAATCTGATCGTATTTTCATACATTCGTCATAAATCTAGTTTTTTCTTATCAGAAGTTTGAACATCTCTTATCTCACGTCAAGTGTCGTTGAGGTCAAAAAATGAAATGAGATCGAGATTCTGACTCCTGACATATAAATAATAGTATTAGTCATATCTTGTCTTGTTATGATATGGGTAGATTCGTTTTTATACTGACATAAATTTGAATCATTTTCACTCTGCACATCGTTCGATAAAAAAATGAAAAATATTTGACGTTCTATCGTCTTTCAATGGTATGTAATGATATGTAACTAATAGAATCGTTCACACAATGAACGTTACCTCAAAAATATAAACGATATACAAACGAACGTAGCATCCAGGGCACGTGTAGAAGTATTAATTGTAATATATTTTTAGATATATATAATGACATTTTTGTTTAGAGAGATTTTGGGTTATTGTTTTTATTTCATTTTTATTTTTCTAAAATGACTTTAAAATCTTATTAAATATGGGAAATAAAAGAACAAGTTTCTAAAAATAAATAAATTTATTATTTTGATTGGAAAATGCGTGAAATTGATGAAATTGTGAATTAAACGAGGGAGTGGGTACCAAATAAATTAAAATACCACTATTTTTCTATTTAAATATATATTATTCATGCTCATATCTATCCCAAATGTCTATAAATATTAAACTATTATCTATTTAAACATATATGATTTGGATGAGTTATCTACTAATTTTAATTTATTTATTTTTAAAAAATCATAACATAAAACTATATAGACAACCACTTATTTTAATTTCATAATTATTTTTATTATTTATTTTTTGAAAACTAAATAAATATTTTACACATTAACATTTTACTTTAATTAAAAAAATAAGTGATCACTTGATTCAATCAATTTATAGAAAGCCCAATTTATAGAAAGCCATAAGAGAAGTTGACAACTAGTCGTAAGTGATCACTTGATTCAATCAATTTATAGAAAGCCATAAGAGAAGTTGACAACTAGTCGTATCCCCTACCCGAGGGGTTATATACGGTAAGCCATGACAACTAGTCATATCCCCCTATCCAAGGGGTTATATACTGTAAGCCGTGAGGGGTTATATACGGTAAGCCATGACAACTAGTCATATCCCCCTATCCAAGGGGTTATATACTGTAAGCCGTTGTTATTTCTCTCTTGCTTGCTTATATAACGTCTCTTTCAAAAATCTCTCTCTGCTCTCGTTTTCTAAAACCTTCTCTGCCAGAGACTCGAGCATACGTCGCTTGGCCATAGACGACGCACGAATTGGTTTAGCTCACTTGTCGTTAGAAAGTGAGTGCCGCACAATCGCAAGTCGGCTGCCATTAAAAGTGTGATTGTGACAAGGAGTATAAAAGACAAATTGTTTATGTTTTTTATAATTTTTGTAACTAAAATAAGCCTAAGCTCGTGACAACGGAAACGAACATAAAAATATTTTAAAGCGTTTAAAAAGTCATCCAAACGAGCTCCAAGTTATTCATAAATATCGATAACATTAACTAGCAATGATAAAACGCCATATACTCTAACAGGAATCAGTATCAACTATCAAGGGAGAAACCAGTATTAACTATATTAAAAGTCTTATGCATGAAGGAACGAACGTCCGTTAATATTTCATCTACAAGAAGGTTGAATTATTAGTAATAATAAAGGATGGTTCACAAACCCACTCTTCATTTGCACATAGATGAAAATTCACACAAACTAGGAAAAATATGATACTATTATACATACATGCTTGTCTATACTGCTACGAGGGTAAGAGTGTTGTTATACCTACCGGTAAGTCACCCTATTAATTAAGATTCGTAAAAGGAACGTTCGAACGAGCAAGCTTCGTTCTCGTAGAAAAATGGCAAACTTCAACCTTCCCCAATGATTCCCTCTAAGCAGCATTGTCGATGATTCCCTCTAAGCACCATCGTCTTCTTCAGGGTTGTTGACCCGCTCACATTCATCGATCCATTCGCTATATCTGATCAAAACAATGTCATGTCAACCCAAGCCCTGTAGAACATCAATATCGACATATACCAGTTGCGTTTAATTTTTACTTACATATCTATTGGCTCAGTCAAGGCTGCAAAACAAACCAAATGAAATATTAGTGCATAAGTATAACAAGTTGGAAGTCGAGACTTCGACACGAAAACGAGTAAATCCACCTAAATCATACATGATGCCTTACACTTGGTTACACATTTTCATGTGATAGACTTCTCTACAACAGGAATAAAAGCCTATTGATGATGGAAGGTGGGACAACTGCATAACAAATCTTCCATTCATTCATCTATTTCGAGGATAGAGAAAATGGGGTTCCCTAGAATAATCCCACAGTCCCGTGCACTATTTAAGGTTCGGATCAAACAAAAATTGCTCCAGTAGAACAGAAAAATACCCATTAAACATATTCTTTTAAAAAATCCTAAATTGCTTGAATTACAGGCCACAACATAATATGAAGCGTAAAGTAAAACACACACAACAGATAATGAAAACAGAACGAACGCTCGTGGAATAAGAGATTCAAAGAGAATACCTGTAACAGTTGTGCTAAAGCTTTCTTGGCAAATCCCACAGGAGGCTTCCCCAATCAGGTTCTTCATGTCACTAAAACCATACAAACACTCTCGTTACAATGCCAAACAAATAAGGCACCTAAACTGAGAGACTAATCCAGGACACAAGTTATTGGTATTATACATATTCACTATTCCAGCGTTTTCATATGCCACAAAATATAAAAATCCTTCAAACAAATCGCTCCCTCACGTGTTACAAGAACCCAAGAGGAACCAAATGCAAATTGCGAACTTACATGCGACATTCAACACTGGTTCCATGATTGCAGAAGGGACAGCTAAAAACAGTATCAAGCTTGTCCATTCTCTTCCTAGGTGGGGGCTTTGCACTTGACTTTCGTTTCCCCATTTCTTGTGGCGTGAGTCTGTTCACATCCATAAACAATATCACCATCAATCAGTCTTCAAAATGAGCGTTGTAATCAAACTTTAAAGGATATCAAGCACAGTCAATAAGCTACCAATCCTCCTACAGAAAAACTCATATTCACCATCCGTCCTCTTGATCCAAAAAATTCATACCCAATCCATGAACTGCCGCAATTAAGTAAAATCGTACGAGAGATGCAAGTTTCACTACCCTAAAGAATCATAGAAACTCACCGTCTATGAAAATAACCAAAAGCAAACAATAACTAAAATTTCCATTTTCGCCACAGATAGCATAGCTACAAGTTACTCGAACAATGTCTCCCATCTTCAATAAGAGCAACACCACGCCACCAACCAAATTCAATAAGAATAACCAACCGCAACGAAAAACGCAAAAAAACGTCGACATTACAAAAGAACGGGAAGAAAACCATAATATACGACAACAAGTAGAACCCTAAATTGCAGGCATTACGAAAAAGGCACAATAATCTGCCAGACGAAGGCTTAATAAAACCCTAGAACTACAAACCCTAAGAGAGGAGAGAATAAAGAAGCCATACCAGATCGCTGATCGAATTGCGAGGAATTAGCGTTCTCTTCCGCAAACGAGTCGCTGGCCGAATTGAAGAATGGTACAAGGCATTGAGGGAGGGGGTGGTATTTATAGACATCTGAAATTTAAACGTTCATTATCTAATTACGAAAATAACCCCAACTTAATTCTATAACTACAGAAAAACCTCAAACTAATTCTACCCTTGCATGGAAAATGGAGGACCATTTTGTACTTTCGCACAAAATAAAATTTAAATGTTTAAAATCTTTTTTTAGTCCTTTACTTCTGAATTTATCCATTATTGTGTTTTATTATTAAAATTTTTAAAAATCCTTCCCTTTATAAATTTATAACAATTACTTTTAAATTTGGTAAATATATAATATCTATTTTAATGTCGATTTAGTATATGGCTCACGTTCTAGCTGGCACACCGTCCAATGTCTGGTTCTGATAACATTTGTAACAACCCAATCTTTGAGCTTTCCCTTCGAGATTTTAAAACGTGTTTAATAGGAAGAGGTTTTCACACCATTATAATGAATGTTCCGTTATTCTATCCAACCAATGTGGGATCTCGGGCTATAAACTGTCTATGTAATTAAATTTGGCGTCAACTCGTCAATGCAAACCAGTTATTATGACTCAATTACCTAATTTGCTGGTTCATTCATAAATAGAGGTACGATAAACCGTTCATGATAAAGACGGTTGTACCTGTTCTTGATTCTTTTGTTTGTTCTCTTACTTCTCGAACTCATGGAAAAAAAAGTGGAATCAATTATAAGGGAACAAATTGCTTTATAGCGGGTGACGGTTATATCAATTTTAATCTTAATTTTCGCGAATAAATCAATTTAAACTTTTAGTTAATATTTAACCTTTTTTTTTAATTTAATTTCATTTAAAATATGTCAAAAACCAAAATTATTGATCTCTCTCAATTCCACACGAGTTCAAAGAACAAGAAAAACACAGGAAAATAAATCCTATTAGGGTTTGTGATATGAACGAAAATAATAGGTATGTCGATGTTTGCTGTATGTTCATTAATTTTAGAGTTTCTGGTGGTAAAATTTAGGGTAAAAATGTATCCATTTTATACAATTTTTGCTGTTTCTGGTCTCGATTGATTTTGGTTTCGAACTTTAGGGTTTCCTTTCATCGCAAACGTAAAAGGTTTTGTCGATTTTCAGTGTTTAATTACGATCCTTTTTTTGGTGCGATTTTCGTACTGGAATTCACTTTTTTATTTAATTTTTTGCAGGCTTCGCTGATAATTGTCGGCTGTAATCGTAATTGTTCATGAATTCAAGGTACTTGAATTTAGTTTCATAGCGCTTTGTCTTTATGCTTTCGTATTTCTTCAGATTTTCCTGGGAATTTATTTGTTTCTTGTTGGATTGGTGGGAGCCGTTGAAGATTAGGGAGGAATTTCGGGAAGAACTGCGATCTAGGTTTATTTAAATGCTCTGGTTACGATTTTAGTCTTATTTGAAATGTTCTTCTATGATTCTTTGTATCTTTTGTGCTTTGATTGCTTAGAAAATTCCCGTTTCTAGTGGTTTTTACTCGTGTGGGTTATTGGATTCTGGATGTTAGAGCTGGGGTTTGAATGAATTACATTGTACAACATTTTGCTTGTGAAAGAGGCGGGTTGAGAGAAGAGAAAGCTCAGGTTTACTGAACAAAAACCTTAACCAAGTAGAGTTTTGCTTTGATTTTTGTTTCGTATCATGATCATTTATTCATCTCAGTGCTATGACTCTGCTCAAGAGATCAAAGAATGCTTGGCCGTAGAACGACCTTACTTGAAAAGGATCTGTTCTATAGGCTGTATAGGCTGTAGAACTGAGTCCTTGAATTCTAAGAATTGGCTTTAGAGGGGTGTATGTGTGCTATCAGATTGTCTGTTGGAGTTTGAATGTGTAACGGCCCAAACTCACCGCTATCAAATATTGTCCTCTTTGGACTTTTCCTTTCGGGTTTCCCCTCAAGGTTTCTAAAACGTGTCTGCTAGGGAGAGGTTTCCATACCTTTATAAAGAATGTTTCGTTCTCCTCTCCAATCAATGTGTGGGGTCTCACAATCCACCTCGAGGCTCAGTGTCCTTGTTGGCACACTGCCTTGTGTCCCTTCGGGGTTTAGCGTCCTCGCTGGCACATCGCCCGGTGTTTGGCTCATATACCATTTGTAACGGCCTAAACCTGCCGTAAGCAGATATTGTCCTCTTTAGGCTTTTCCTTTCGGGTTTTCCTTCAAGGTTTTTAAAACGTGTCTACTAAAGAGAGGTTTTCACACCCCTTATAATGAATGCTTTGTTTTCCTCCCCAACCGATGTGGGATCTCACAGAATGGGTGGACTAAGTGTATGCTAATGCTTGTGCATGGTTGGTTAGCTTGGTATATAAACTCAACGATTATTTCTTGAGTTTCTTTCATGGCCAGGGGCTTCTCGGTATCGGTAGAGTCGTTTTTAATCCAATGTTCGCTTCTGCTTTGAGGGTTTAGTAAGAGGAGATATTTGTTTCCTTCCTTTTTTACTCTGTCATTTTGCTATTGATCTGAAATTCTGCTAAGAGGGGGTGCTATTACTATGGAAATGAAAACTCTCTGTCTCTGCACTTGGGGTTGAAATAGAATTATTCATTCCTTGTTAGGAAAACTCGAGCATCGAATATATCTGTAACAGCCCAAGCCCACCGCTAGCAGATATTGTCCTCTTTGGGCTTTCCCTCAAGGTTTTTAAAACGTGTCTGCTTGGTAGAGGTTTTCACACCCTTATAAGTAATGATTTGTTCCCCTCTCCAACCAATGTCTATCGAATACATGCCAGTTTATTGTCTGCTCTATACCATCTTGTTCTCTACTTCTTCCACGGGTAAGAAAGTTAGTCTGTGAGATCTCCACATCGATTGGAGAGAGGAATGAGTGCCAGCGAGGACGTTGAGCTCCCAATGGGGTGGATTGTGAGATCCCACATCGGTTGGGGAGGAGAATGAAGCATTCTATACAAGGGTGTGGAAACCTCTTCCTAGTAGACGAGTTTTAAAAACCTCGAGAGGAAGCTCGAAAGGGAAATCTCAAAGAGGACAATATCTACTAGCAGCAGACGTTACACCTAGTTATCACCGGATATGCTTACCTAATTCTAACCTTGTAATCTTTGTCTATGGGCATTGGTATTAGTTTGTAAAATTATTGTCCACAAAATATTTCTGAAGATCAAGTATATTGAAATGGAGTTCACTTCTGAAATCTTCCTTGGTTCCTCTTTGGTTTGGTATCTCTCTCTCCCCCTAGAATGGCTAGCAGCTGGAAAAGATCATTAGGGAATGTCAGGTCCCTCATCGGCAATTCGATGGGCGGTCTCAGAGGCGGCGCCAATCTCGCTTCTTGGGTCGTCGCCGGAACCCTCGCCTACTTCCTTTGGGTCAAGCCCTCCCAAGACCTCAAACGTGAGCAGCAGGAAAGGGCTGCTCTTGCAGCTGCGGATCCTCATCGGTATATTGAGAAGAGGAAACCTATTCCCGATCCCCAGGAAACTGGTTCGATATACGGCAACAAGAATACGCCTCGAAAACCAGAGGAATAATCTATGGAGGAGACTGAAAACTTTAGAGAGATGGAATTTTGATTGAGCTTGTCGCAGATTGGAGGGAGCCTAGAAATATGAAGGTTTGAAGGTGATAGATGAGGACTGTGTGTGTAGTTCAGTAAAGAGTTGTGGTCAAATCACTTGAAGGTTGAAAAAGTTCTGTATTTTTTGTTTTTGTCATTCTCTTTGTTCACAAATCACCCAGGAACCCGAACTACCCAACCGATTGGATGTTTTTTTTGTTCGTGTTGGGTTGGGTCGGATTTTTGTAAAATCTAAATTTTGGTTTAGTTCACAAGTTAAAGATTTGTTTTAGTCATCCAACCTAACCCAAATTGAATTCGTTCTTTATTGGTAGGAGTGTTCAAAATGACCCAAATAACTCGTACTATCCGACCCATTAGATTTTTTTTTTCTTTTCTTTTTTGGGTTGGATTGAATTATCTTAGAACTGAAAAATTGGTTCAGTTTGCAGATTGAGATTTTGTTTGGTGAATTCAATCTAACCGGAACTGAATTCAATTAAATTTTGAAAAAAAAAAAAATCATATATGTATACACGTTTTCTATTGCTTGCCTTTTTATTTTTTACAAGTTTGAACATAATGAGCTCCACACATTCTTGTACCGTCAAAAAATTGAACTCGAGAACTCAACCCAATCCAAAATAGTTAACTATATTCCGTTGATTCTGGAAGCCAACTAAACCAATCTCAAAATTTTAGGTCGATCAAAAAGTTGCCCGAATCAAATCTATATATATATAAATATATATTAATTTTTCAATATATTTTGTGTATTTTTTAATATAAATTATTTTTAATTAATCCAAGTTGGAAAAAATTAATTTCAAATTAATAAAGTCTAATTTAAAGATATATTGAAACTTCTTTTGTAATAATAAAATATTGGTTAAATTATAAAATTTAGTATTTCAAATAAATATATATTTTTTTATAATTTGAGAAATTATTATATGAAAAAAAAAATATTACATATTTTAAAATTAGACATACTTTAAAGGGAAGAATTTAAGTTGAAATTTTAAAAAGTGGTTGGAATCAAAATTTAAACTCTCTATTTTTTCAATTTTAATATTGTGGAAAAATAATAATAATGTTCACGCTTTGGGAATAATAAACTTTTGACCGGCCTAAAAATGTTCCAATTTTGACCGAAATTTTGGTCAAATGGTCAAAAGGGTTACGCGGACGACCATGGGAGTCGAGTGTCAAAGTTATGAAAAGCAAGAGGGTAGTTTGGGCATATGTCGAAAATTGAAAATACTTTAAATATTTTACTTAATTATATATATATATATATATATTTTAATCCTACTCTAAAATTACATGCCAAAATTTAAAGATATGACTACGTTATCTATTTGTCATTTTTAAGAGTAAAGACTATCAATACAGACTAATACAAATAACTTCAGCATGTTATGTTTTCTCTCTCATGCTTTAAAAAAAAATCTCAAAAAATTATCCAATATAAAATTACTTTTAAGTTAATAATTATAATAATCGAACCGTGTATTTTAATTAAATTTTTACTTTTATTTATATATAATATTAATAAACAAATAAATTTAATGGAACGATGGCCCACAAAGAAGTAAAAACCATTACATACGGATAGTGATGGATCCAATTCCCAACATTTGCACTCAAAGAATATTCCTTTGGATATCTTTTATTTACTTATTTATTATATATATCTAATATGTTTCTTAATTTTTTAAATATAAAAAATATGTCAAACACTTCATATATCCAAATTCAATCATTTTTAGGAAATTTTTAAAATTTAATAGTTAGTTAAATTAATAAAAATAATGTTTATTTTTTATTTTTCAAAACTTTAAAAGAAATTAAAAAATAATAGAAATGGATAATCTTTTATTTAAAAAATACATTTTAACTAATTTTTTTAAAAGTGTTTTTTAATTTTTTTAAAAATATTAATAAAACAAAATTAAAGGTTCAGGTATTTTTTTTAAACATTGTTTTCGAAAACTCGTTCTTAAATGAAGATACTCGATGCCCTTGTCTTGTAATATCATCTTCATCACAATGCAACACGTGCCATAAAGTAGCTCACTTAGATCACGAGATAGCTCGCTTATTTTTAGGTCAAAAAGAAAAAATATATTTATTATTAAAATACTAATTAATTATTAAGGTTTGATCAATAGTGATATTAACTCTATAAAAGTTTCGGGGGTTGGTTGGTCTTTTTGCCCAATCCCACGTGTCATGTTATGATTGGCACATAATTAATACCTAATTTAATCCCACTTAAGAAAAATAATGAACTTCAACCCTAGAGGCCATTTTATTTCTTGTCAATTTTGTTAATGTGACGTGTGTGCTTCTTATTGGTTGAGGAATAAATTAAATTATCTCAAAATTACCTTCTTTTAATTATTAAATTAACTTATATATTACCGATATAAAATAATTAAACAAATATTATCCACGAACATCCATATTTATTTGGATAACCCTAACCATATACACCTTCAAACACGTGTCAATAAAACCATTTATAAACGTATAAAATATAATAATTTCTATTTTTTAAATCAAAATAATATATATATATATATATATATATATATATAGTTTTTTAATAATTAAAAAAAATAGCTCTGCTCAACTCTCAGTTGGGTAGGGTTATGAGCTTTATTTGGGCAACTTGAGTCACCAACCCAATCAACTCGTGAATACCCCTACTAGAAAGACGTTGTTCAATTAGGAGTGTTTCGAGCTAAACATACATAACCGTGATGGGTGAGGTTGTGAACTTTATATGGGTGGCTCGAGTCACCAACCCAACCAGCCCATGTATACCCCTACTCAAAGAACGTCACCTAATTATAATTGTTTCAAGCTAATTACACGTAATTATCAAATTTTAAAAAATATTATTAATTACACTCATTTGAACGTCATATCTATTTATTAATATACTTCACTTTTACTGCATATATATATATATATATATATATATATAAATAATGTTTTGTTAATATATATTTAATTTTGTTTTTAGAGGAAAGAAACAGGAAGCTCACGGACCCAACAATTTAACGGTTAAAAGAAAGGGGAAAAAAAGTTGAAAAAAAAGAGAGAGAGAAAAGAAAGGGTTCGTTATAATGTAATGCACAGAAATTAGAGGAGAACGAGCGATAAAAAGACAAGGACATTCATCATTTCTCTCTCTTCTTTCTCTCTCCTCAAAAAGGAAAAATAAAAAATAAAAATTCATTCTTGCCTCTGGTCGGTTCCCTTTTGTAATGGAATTTATCATTTCTGATTTTGATTTGTAACAACTGCTGCTGATTGTTCTTAATTTTGAGTAATTTTGAGCAATTTTGAGCTTTAGGGTTCTTCCCCATCGCTGATGTAATGGATTTTTTTTTTTTTTTTTTTTTTTTTTTTTTTTTTTTTTTTTTTTTTTTTTTTTTTT